CCGGGCCGCTGGGTACTCGCCGGATTCCCGCCGGAAAGAGCCTCCTCTTCCCCTTTTGTTCGTGTCTCTGCCCCTCGCAGCAGCCCGAGAGAGCTTCCGCTCTGCTGCAAGGACAGCGACTGGTTATTTCTCCCCCCTCCCCAGGGTGCGGAGGATTTCCCCGACTGCTGCATCCTGATCCTCAGGCTTCTGCCTGCAGCCTTCCACGCGTCGGGAACGCCTCTAGCTTCTCTGGTTGTTGGAAGCGTACTTACCAAACCCTCCTAACGAAAATTTGGTCACCGTCGGCCTGACCAAACCAACGTGTTTTTCCACTCGTAAAAATGAAAGGGGGCATCGATGTGCTTGCTACTGGACTAAATTGCTCTTGTCAGCCCCTGCCCGCGGGGCTCCTGTTTTCCTTCTGCTTGGTAGTGCTTCGTGCCAGTTCCAATTCACTCGTCTGTCAGAAAAGCAGTGTTGGCAGCCTCTCTTGAGCTCTATTGCCGTAGCATCTTTTCTGTTACCTTCCGCTAGCAGTATGGCCACACAGCAGTCACGACATCCCTGCACTTGTTTCATTTTCTATTCAAAAAGCAAGCAGAACCCTCCAGAAAGTGTTGAAGTCAGAGGTACTATTGGAAAACTTATAGTTAGGTGTTTCTTTGTTTCAGGTTAGAGTTCAGAAAAGACAGTAAGTATGCTGTAATGCTAAGTATATCTTTTCAAAAAGTAAGCATGTGACACTTTTACAGTAGAATGTTTTGCTAGAGATCAGATATGCATTAGTAATTAAATATTTCTCCCCTCCACGAGGTGATACTGGTTACTCAGGATTGTGGAAAGAACCAATGTTAAATATGAGCATGGGAATAATCATCTTTCTTCCAGGAGGATTCTTATATTTCAGTTACCCATATATATAGCCAGAATAGTTTTCTTGCCCTTCAGAGTTTTGCATTCAGTTTTTCCAGTCCAGGTAACTAAAACTCCGTGCGGTTTTCTGTCTTCGTTCCACGTGAGTTGCGCTTATATGTGAGTTTTACTGGCGTTCCTTAACCAGCATAGTATTGAAGGTGTCATGATAGTTAATTCGAGAAAAGCTTGTGGTTTAAAAGTATATTACATGCTTCCTCTAAAAATCATTAACTGCATTCATGGAAATGGCTTAATTAAATGATTTTGCTCATGTGTGTTCTCTCTGTAACATTCATTTTCTCTTATTTGAATTATTTCAAATACTGTGTTGGCAGCAGCCTGGGCTAGAGTAAAACTTTATAAACAGCTGGTTTATAAACTCTTAGGTAGGTGCAACTGTGTCAGCTTCACCAGAGGTCATACTGCCTAGGCTGAAGGGTTGCATGAACTAAGACACAAAGACAGCTCATGGTGTAACTTTTCAGGTGTTTTTCACCTTATTTCCCATCACTCCGTGAAATGAATATAAAGACAAGAATGGAGAACCAGAAGGGTAAAACGGTAGCGATCGTTTCTGTCCGTGGTGATGTCCTAAGTGCACTTTGGGTTTGAGGAGCGGGTTCAGTTGATTAGTTGACTGGCTGTAAATTAGGGGTAAAGAGGAATGAATATGAGCAAATTTGCTGTAATGCTTTCATACCCTGTTTTGCTTTTGTTTTGTATGTTACCTCTCCACATCAAGATAAAGGCATTTAGGGCATATGTGTTATAGGAATGGCATAGTAATGTCTTTTTACTCTTAATATGTGACTACTTTGTGGTTTTTTTCTTGCAGAGTCAACTGTTCATTTTATTTCAAAATTGGAGCTTGTCGTCATGGAGACAGATGTTCTCGGTTGCACAACAAACCAACATTTAGCCAGGTTTGTTTTCCTTTTATTCTCTTTCTTGTGGAAGTATATTCTTGCTGCTCTAAATTGTAGATTCTCTGATACAAGTGAATAATTATAGAGCCCCAGATAAACTAGTTCAGTTTTGGCCCCAGTTTATATGTGGTTTTGCTTTTTTGGGGGTATTCCACTTGCTTCTCCCAGCATTTCTAATTATCTCCTGTCACCCTTAATGGCTGCAGGAAGCGATGCTGTTGTAAGCTTGCCTGTAGTAGAGACCAGCCAGTGCTAACTTTCAGGTGAGTGTGCCTTCTCAGTGGTGTTCAGGCACTTAAACCATCCCAGATTTTTTTGATCACAGACAATGGCAGCATGTTCCACCTGTCTCAAAGGTGTGAACTTTTATGCATATAATAGAAGAAAACTAGTGAATACATAAGTGACTCGTGTGTCATTAGATTTGTTCTCTGACCCAGGCTCTTATGTTTTGAGAGTAACTCACATTATTGCTTTGAATGTGAAAGAATTGTTTCTTGAAAACAACTTGCCTGGCTGCTGAGGGCGTATACATCTGTTGATTTGATAGGTTATTTAGTCGTTGGCTGTGTGAACATTGTTAGAGACGTGTGACTGCATGTCTGCCAAAAGCAAAAGATGTACAGCGGGTGGTAGAGCTTTTATTACGAGCTCTGTAGTTTTCAGAATTCACATTCCTGGAGACTGGTAGGCTTTGCTTTTTTCTATCACTGCTGATTGTCAGGGTATACAGGTAAATAATTTCTTTGGGAGTATTGTAATGACAAGTAGTACCTACGGAAGTTGCTGTATTATCAGCAGTTTTACCAACAAAAGTAAAGTTTACATAGCAGTGGAGTCCTCTGCAAGCTCATTTTGGCTGGCTTGGGGCAGGATTGATGAGAGTGGTGGACTGCTGTTGGTTTGGGAAGCATTAGGGAGACAGGCACTATCCATGGGGCTGGAGTTAAGAATGATGATGCTCATCAAGTTAAAGGGTGAGTGTGCAGGCAGGGTTCTGAGCAGGACTGTCGAGCTTACTGATCCATAGGGGCCACTGCCAGTACTTCATGTACAAAAACACTTTTCCACTTGTGGGGCCTGCCACAATTTTTTGTGTAAATTTTTGATGTAAATACTGTCTCAAAAAATAATAGTATCCATTTCAAAACTACTCCATGTTGCCGGGCTACATGGAAAATGTACTGAAATGCAGTTGCTTATTTAGAGACCTGAATTTAGGTCACTGAATACTAGAAAATATGCCTGAATGTATCAAATTCCATAGTATTTTTTGTATTAAGCTTAGAAAAAAAACCCAAACCAGCAAATTTATTTACTTACTTAACAAAATTTTGTATGCAACAGTGATTTCCTCTGTCAGTGCAGCCTTTAGTTTTGCTGTAGAAGCTGTGGTTAACAATGCCATCTTAAGTGGGTGAGCAGGGCATATCAGGTTCATCCAGTGATGTCTGGGACTCCTTCATTATCACAACTGGCAAACGTGCTGAATTGTACTATCTCAGGTGTACCTAGCAGACGTGTGAGGTTCACTACAGAAATCTTTATTTGTATGCAGATTGATAATCAGCTGTGATAAAAAAAAAAAAATCGAAGAGGTATCTTGCTAACGGGAAGTGACTGGCACAATATTTTTATCTTGTGTTGCTATTGCTGGTGCAGCCGCTCTGTAGAAGAGCTGTGTTAGGAAAGGTCTCACTGTCCAGAGTGATCAAATTACCACCAATCAGCAGAAACAAACTACATGCATGTTTCTGGCTCTCTCCAATTGTAGGCTAAAACATAGTTATTTTAAACCTGGGCCGCAGAAGCACAAAGATTGGGTTGGTATGACAATACCTGTTATAAAACAAGTGTGTGATTTTAAATGTGCTGTTACAGATTTATATTTTTTTGGTACATGTTAAGTGGGCAGCGTATGTAGGTATGACATTGCTGGTCCTATGTCTTCCTTAAGCTCTGAATTCTTACTGTGACTAATAATAATGTGTAAGCTAAAATTATTTGGGGATTGCAATTCATACTAACTAACATTGAGCTTGTATTTTAAGTAATCACATTTCAATTTTTGAGCTGCTTACAGTGATATGGACGTTTGGAATTTTTTTGTAATATTAGTTTACTAACTTAAACATGGTTTGTTTTTTCAGACAACTTGATTTTAAGAAGAACGGTACAAATGTAAGGTTTCAAGTCTGCCTGGGCTAATTCTTCAAGTAAAAAGCAGAAGGGCTAAAAGGATATTGTCCTTATTTGAAGGATCGGAAACATGTGAACCTATGATGCTATTATATTATTTAAACAGAAATTCCACCAAGAAATTCCTGATGCACAAAATGAGACGCAGCTCTTGCCTCAAAACCTTAGTGTCTGGTGTAACGTTTTAGACTCTGTGGCATTATGTATTGTACGCTGTGCACATCACACTTTTTTCCCCCCTAGACTTACAATAATGAATGTGGTCTCAAAGGCTAGGCATCTCCATAATACCATGTAGGCTGATGCTTTAGGTCACTGTGCCTCACAACTCCCATCTTGAGGATAGCTGTTGAGACAAATGCAGCTTTTTCTTGGTGGTTAATTAAAACTGTTTTCATAATATGATGGTCTGGATGCAATTTTGGAAGATATTCTGCAAATACAAAAGGGAGTCTTGAGAGTAAAATATTACTTTTAGCTGTTTGCAAACAAGTTGTCTCTTTGCAATTGTCTATTATATGCACAGCAGCCAGTAGAATTCCCCTTTTTATTTTTTTTCCCCGCAGACCATCTTGATTCAAAACATCTATCGTAACCCCCAAAACAGTGCACAGACGGCTGACGGCTCACACTGTAAGTCCCACAGTTGGAGAAATTTTTTTAAAGAATGGTGTTAAAGAGCCCACTCCTAATTATGAGAAAATAATGTTGGCTTCTGAGCTGCTGACATAAAGCTGTTGCAAACAGGACAAGTGACGGAACTCTTCTTGCGCATAGGTCAAGAACTTGTCAAATGTGTGCAATTCAGAATGCAGAACTGACTGCATAAATTGGACCTGATGCAGTTTCTCTTCTGCACTGCGAAGAGCAGCTTGATTGCTTAGTAACACTGCATTCTTTTTAAAGTGTTAAACTGCAGACATTTTTCAAATTCTTGATTTAACAAAAAAAATAAAATAGGTATATATGTGTTGTACGGTAAGTTTCCCAAAACTGGGTTTTCTTTCATCTTAACTTTTTTAGGATAATGGAGATTTCATGTTATGCTGCACTTATTGTATTACTTCTTCTCCTGGGGTTTTGCTACTAAGAAACCATTCAGTAAAACCAAATACAAAAAAATTACGATGCTTGTAATTTTAATACTGTGTTTGGATGCCATCTATGACATATCTGTCTGAAATCATGCAAAACCCCTCTACAGTAATATTGGTGAATAAAATAAATACAATAATGGAGTATCATGAGATCTCTATTACTTTACAGTGTTAGGTTGGTTCAGAAAGGTCACCAGATAAGTGAAAGTTCTCCTTCTTGGGAGAGAATAACCACCTCTCTTTCAGCACAGACTCGGCTAAAGCGACCCTAAAGGAAACCGGTTTCTTGTTAAAATTATTTTCCATAATATAAAGTTGTTGCGTTTTGTATTTCAGACCATTGCCCTCTTGAACATTTACCGTAACCCTCAAAACTCTTCCCAGTCTGCTGACGGTTTGCGCTGTAAGTTCATACAAGTTCCTTCACTGGTTCCCTGGGCTTGATTGTCAGAGCTCAGTGTCGACTTAAGCTGGTCTACCATTTCAGTTTAACAGATCAAACTGACCACATTTCATTGAATGTGTCCAAAACAAACACAACAAAACCAAACAAACCAAAACTTTTTGTCCCATTCACCTTCTCCCAAAACTTGAGGGGAATCTGAATACCATCTATTAAATCACAAAGGGTTGAAATTGTACTTCCCTGTAAAGCAGTCTTGGTTGCACTGCTTTCTCCCCCTCCACCTTTCTCCCTACCAGTTGCCTGCATCCTAGGAATGCTTTTCTGTATGATTTGCGCTATCTATTAGTTTCCAGTGTCTTAAAGAGCAGGACAATTAATACATTGACTTCATCCAGAATAAATTTCCTGCTCTAGAAATGTAAAGTGAACTTGAATTTTAAAGTTTTCAAACTGCATGCAGAAGTTTGTCCTAGGTTAATGCAGCTTCCAGTTAGAACCTACTTTGGAAGAATACACTTTGACTGACACTTTACCTTCTGGCAGCTGTCCTTTTTGGATAGGTGCATGCTTCAAATTCTTCCCATGCTTTGAAAATTCAAATTCCAAAACCAAGTTGCATATTTACGTAGTAATATAAATCTTTTAAAGTACTTTTGAGGAGGGGAAGGCATTTGGGTATGGTCATGAACTAATTTAATGACTCCTCATGAGGTAGGAATGGGCATAAGAAAACAGCTACTGTGAGACTGGCAGAAGTTTAATGACCAGGACTGTTGATCGGCGATTACTGATACAGCATTGTGATTGAATCATCAAATCATCAATATTAGAATAAGATTTTTTAAAAAAAATAAATTTTTTTGGACCAAAAAGGATTGGTGTTATTTTCTAACTAATATTTCTTGTTGAAGTGAATACTGACTCTGTGGTAATAAAGCTTTGTTTGGCTATTCCTTTTTTTTTGACTGTTGGGTTATAGACTAGTTCAGATTAGTTACCAGCATTTGATTAGATGTGTTTTGTGAAATCAGCTGCTAACTTTGAAAGTAAACACTGTCTCTTCTGCTTCTAAAAGCAGCAGTGGCCCATTTAAGTAATCTGAAGTTTTTGTCATACAATCAAGCTAGATACGTAACGAGCTATGTAAGTTTGTCTAGATGCTTGAACAGTTCTGTTGGTGTGAAGGCTTTCTTGTTGCAGATGCTTAGTAGTTAATGCTGTTTCAGTAAACAAAAAAATGTACAGTTGGGTATTTCCACTCCATCCCTGAATTCTCAATGCGCTGGTAACTAATTTGCACAGAGTTACAGCAGTTTGGTCTGTGGAGCTGTTTAGATTGTGCAGCTGCAAGAGTCTTGAACAAATTCTCTAGTGTTCTAAATGTTGGTATCGAACTCTAGTTTCCCTTGACAAGAAGGTAGCTGTTTAACAGAGCCTGACTGTACCTTCTGTGATAGAGCTGGAGCTCTGTTACCAGTAGGTTTGCTGAAACTCCTGGCTCCCTGTTTTTTTGGTATTTGTCCCTACTTAAGTATTGCATGTATTTTAAATGGATGACTTGGGTAGTTATTTAATGCTTTTGTTGTTGTTGCTTAACTGTCTTCCTTTCTATTGCCGTCGTAGAGGATTAACCTTAGTTTTGAACAGCAGTAGTTTTCCTGAGTATTTTAATTAGTAGTTGGGCTTCTCAAGGTTCACATACCGGTAGCCCTGGAATATGATTGATTGTAAAGCCTGTGCATATGTACATGTCCCACTTTAGAAGGACATTAAAGTAATTAACTGTTGCTTGTGATCTCCTAATTTGACTGTGGAATCTCCTTGTAAGTTTTTGCACTTGGCCATCTGGTAATATTCCCAGTGTGGCTTGCAGAGCCTGTCTGGTACCTTAAGAAAAACCCCTACCAACCACCAACAAAAAAAACCCAACACAACAAAAACACCCCTTAGCTATTAGTAAGCTATTATCAGTGCTGTTGGCAGAACCTTGGGAATATAGTTAAGTATTAAACTGTCTAGAAATACTGGTTTAATGTTTGATATTCCTCAATTTGCTGTATAACCTGCGGAAGAAGAAAGTTCTTAAAAGCTAACGTGTTCCCAGTGCAGAAACTTTGTTAGCCTAAGCTGTGTAACAGATGCCCCTTAGCCTTCTTCAGGAGGTGAACTGGGTGGAAGAAAAGTAACAACAGTTGAAGAGTGTGTGGCTGGTTAATATTAGAGCCTTTGAAGAATATGTAATGTTTGTCCAAATGGGAATACTAGCCAAAAATGGCTGAGCCCAAAGTATCTCTTTTTTTCCATAGCAGCCTGAAATGAATAAGCTCAGCTTTTTTGGCTCAGTTTGTCTTTCACATTCTGTCAACTAAACCAGAAGTATTTGTAATTCAAAGGCTAGAATAATTTTCTAGCATTAAATGCAGGGTTCATTTAAAAACTTCTGCTTGATCTTAATAAACCACTTAACTGCTGAAAAGCTAATACGTTAGGCCTTAATGTATACACTTTCATGCAGATTAATGCACTGTAGACTTGAATAAATAAAATTCATTTTTATATTCTTAATTATTTGAAAAATCAACCAAACTTAAGTTGTTTTTATAGCAGCAGGCAAGCAGTGCTCATTTGTAAAGTCCAGCTTGGAGCATGAAAATTATCTAACCTGAATATATGTCTGGCTTGTCTTGCACTAAAAGGTGTTCTGCAGGACTACAGAAAAATTGAATTACTTTCAAACTTAAACTAGAAAATTCTCTATTACAGGGCATTATGGTACCTATCTTTGAGGCCACTGAGAAAAGTGTGTCATTTCAGTAACTATTTTGAGCATATTTTAAAAAATATTCTAGGCTATGTTACGTTGTGCACTCAGATTCTAGTGTGTGTGGTGGACATGATAAGATGAAATTCTGCCTTTAGGAAGAGGTACATTCAATTGTAATTATGGTTTAAAGTATGCAAATTTAACAAAGCACTTGCCTTCTGTTTAGGTAAAATGGTTGGTAGATAGAGAGTGGGACTGTACATTAAGTGGTAATTCAAAGTATACACTTTTGCCTCTGATTAAAACTTGTTTTAATTTGGTCATGTCAATATAATGTTTTGACATATACTTTAGGGACTCTAAACTCTTCACACATACTTATTTTTAATATTCCTATTAGTTAGTTTCATGCTATATGGTGTCTTCTATGCTCCAGATGGCCTCTCTAGATTGTTTTGTAGTATGATCAAGATATCTTATTATTTATAAGCTCTAATCGATACAACTCTTGATTTTTACAGGTGCTGTGAGCGATGTTGAGATGCAGGAACATTATGATGAATTCTTCGAGGTATGTAGAATATGTTAAAATGCCTTGAAGTGTGCGTGGCTTTGTCGCCACAAATGAGTTACGTGGGTTTAGTGTATAGCACAGTTAGATGGATTCAGAGAAAAGTGCTTGTTTCCTTACACGTTTGTGTAAAACTTATAACTTTCAGTGCTATCTATTTCCTGGAAAAACCTTTGATTAGTTTGGCTTTAACTTTACTGTTTATAATACTCTTTTATTTAAAAATCAGCAGCTTAGGCGATGCAGCATTTAAACTCCACAATAACCTTTTTTCCTGTAAATTTAAAATATACTCTAACTTGTGTCAATAAAAATATTTAGCAAGAGCATCAAGGCTTATATGTAGTGGTTTCAGTGCGTCTTACGACTTCTGTAAATACTGTATGCATGATGTTTTCTATAATATTTTATGTATTCTGTTAGTGCTGTACTTACAGGTAGACATGGTACAGGCCAAGGAAGTACCGATTTTAAAATTAGAAGTGAAAAAAAAGGGGGTTTGTTTTGCTGTTTTTTTAAGGAAGACCTGTACTTACAGAGAGCTAAATGCAGTCCTTCTGTCCTTACAACTATATGTGCTGCAAACTCTTAATTGGTTGCTTTGTGCTTAGGAGGTCTTCACAGAAATGGAAGAAAAATACGGTGAAGTTGAGGAGATGAACGTTTGTGATAACCTTGGCGATCATCTAGTTGGAAATGTATACGTAAAGGTAGGATAAAGAGAAACCCAATTATATGATAGGGGTTATATTTATTGATTTGTAATTTTAAAAGCTACTGTATACTTGTGGACATTGCAAGAGTAACTTTTCAGGATATAAGCTCCTCTCCCACTCCACAATATCAAGTCAAAAGTGAAAACATGAATGGAATCTGAAAGAAATGTCAAGACATTATAAGCTTTCTTGATAGTCAAAATCTGTGTCATTTATATAAGGATGAACACCGGGGTTTTTTTACATTGTTAGAAATAACACTCACCACTGCTGGACTGTTTAGTTTGCCAGGATTAATTTGGGGTCTGTATTCCTGCCATACTGCCTTTTAAACACTTGATGTTCTGAGCAGATGTGTATTCACAACAGATGTGTTTATTTTTAACAGCTGCATTTATTTTTCAACTTCCCAGTTAAACAAACCATCTTGTAACCACGTTATCTTTGGCAGTAGCTGTGTGGTTTAAGGTGTGAACTGGAGCCCTTAGGTTTAGCTTTTAAAAGTCATTGATACAAAGTTGTCACCTGCAGAAATTTTGTTGTGTGTACACAGTGTTGAGGAGGTGTGAAAGAGACTGTTTTAATATTTTTACGTTCTCTTAACTGGAAGGTATTTTTACACCTGAAATTCTCAGCAGTGAAGGTTATAATCAGAAGAAAAAAAAGTTGCTTTTAAAAGTTTGGAAGTGGTTAGCTGTGAAAAGGGATTCTAAATTGTAAATTTTCATCATAAAACAGGATGAGACTTGTAAATTCTAATTGGATGAGAGCTTCAGTTCTCGTGCAGTTTTCCTAAAAGTTGGACAAATCCATTACATTCAGAACATTAGTGCTCCAGAAAGTACTCTGGCATTCTTTTTGTTTAAAGTTGTGCTAAGAAAACATGGTATCTTCTGTCTTCTCTTTTTTAATACAAGCCACGAAACTTGAAAGACCAAATAGAACATAATTAAGAGAAAGTATCAGTGTGTTTATTAGCTCTGCATTGTGATTAACAAAAAGCGAGCATCTTCACCCTTGATTTGATGAACTGTCCCAGCAACTCTTCAGTAGCTTATAGTTTTTTGACTAGTCCTAAACCTCAGGTACCACAGAACTGATTTCATAGGAACCTTCCATCTACTTCTGTTGTTTCTCTATAGCATGAGAAAATGTTAATTTTGCCTTTAGTTTCGCCGTGAAGAAGATGCAGAAAAGGCTGTGATTGACCTGAACAATCGCTGGTTTAATGGACAGCCCATTCATGCTGAGCTTTCACCTGTGACTGACTTCAGAGAGGCCTGTTGCCGTCAATATGAAATGGGGTAAAAAGTGATTTCATGTTTGCCTACAGTGGTATATTTGAAATGTTTGCACCAACAGGGTTGTTGCTTGGGTGTGGTTTTGATATGTATCCATGTAGGAAGAAAACCATGGCAGATATGGAGGGCCTGCAGTCAACCTCTTGACTTTTCCTGTCCTTTTAGGGTCTTGATCTCAGTGTCAGTAAAGGACGCTTGTGATTTACTGATTTCAGTGTTAGAGTTGATTAACTTTTAGATGGTTAGAGGTTCCCCCCCAGGGCTTAGGACAAACAGATAACGGTGTAGAGCTAGGAGTTTCAACTGTGTCTCTTGAATTCTGTTTCAGAGAGTGTACACGAGGAGGTTTCTGCAACTTTATGCATTTGAAGCCCATTTCTCGAGAGTTAAGACGTGAGTTGTACGGGCGTCGTCGTAAAAAGTAAGTTTAAAAATAAGATGAAAACAGGTAAATTAGAGATCAGTTTCTGAAAATTCTGAAGTCAAACCTTTAAAAAACTGAAGTCCTCTCATTTTGTTTTACTGAAGTTCTGACACATGCCAATAGAAGGGCATCAAGTAAATTTAGCAAGTGGCCAGTTTAGAACAGAGGACTGTCATAAAAAAAAGTTCTGTTGTGGTTTGCGGTGCTACAGATGGATGCTGAAGGTTGTGCCCTTTAAGAGAAGGAAGGCTTCAAGGAGAAGAATGTTCACTGAGCTACTCTTAAGTACATAGGACGCACCTATGGTTCAAATCTCAAAACTCTGAACTCTTAAGGCAGAGATTATTTGGAGAAGTATTGCTTTATGCCTCTTTTCTATTGTCTTCAAAATGTATTTGCTCACAGCCTCTGTTAGAAGCAGGCTACGTGGCTAATGGACATTTTGGCAGGATTAGATTGGCCACTTTTCAGCATTATGCACAATCAAGCATAACTGGATTATATTCAATACCCAAACTTAATTGTTTTTAACAGTTAATAGCTAACTTTTCTAGCCCAAATTAATTCCTTAGTGTTAGTAACAGGTTATAACTGTATGGAGCTCACTTTTTATTAATGGTAGCCTCACAATGTGATCCTTCTTGATAGGTATTCTCAGTAGGCCAAAGGATTAATGGCCAAAAAAAAATGATAAATGCATTTTGTTATATTAAATCATTTATTTATTGAGGTACTTTGTAGAAAGGCTTATGTTGCTGCTGTTACTGTGACACCTCTCTTGTGAATGATTCTCTTTGCACTGGATTCAATCTGCTTTTAGAACCTTGCTATTCAGGATAAGCATATACAATTGTTCAGCTTCCTTTTATATTGTAGAGCATGATTTTGTAGCTTTTTTCTGTCACAGAAGGAGCCTGGGCTTGTGAACGTTTTTCCTATAAATGTCTCTAATTGGCAGTGTCTTAGGATCTCTGAGGATGAATATAACTTTGGAAAATGTAGATTGTGTTGCTTAGGCACATTGTTCTTCTGCCTAAATACTTTCCTAAAATATTCCAGTTAATATTTAAACTTCTGTGTAAGCTTTTAAGATCTTTGAATGATTTATGAAAAATAAAATTTATGCTCTTGTATTAGCCTCTTAGTCACTTTTATGAATCTGGATCTCTCAGACTCAGTAAGGCTAATTCAAAGGTATCACCTTTTATTGCAGGAAAGATGAGACTTGTGTGCTTGGCTTGGAATACAATTATTTTATCCAAAGCCCAATTTCAGTCTTTAGTAAAACAAAACAAAACAAAAAATAGCTGAATCTTCCATCCAGTTTTGTCTTTATTGGCCCTATTTAAATTCCTTGTGCAGCTAAATCTGTCACAGGTTAGCAGTAAGTAAGGCTTGATATGTAAAAACAGTATCAGTTTTTGTTAGTGGTGTTTCTCATGTAGATTGTATAAAATACTCTGATGTTAAAGTAGTTCTACACAATTAAATACATCGAAGTATTTGGAGTAGAAAAAAGGAGGGTAAGACAGAACTTTTGAATAATAAGTTAATTTCGTAATCTCAGTGGTAGGCAAGAGTTATGTATTTGTTTGCCATAGTAAACTTTTTACTCCCACCCCAAAACATGTCATAATGGACCAATGCTCTGCAAAATTAAGACTTGGAGCATTATTTTCCCTGAGTTTTTTAATTTCTACCCCTATTGAAGCTGTATTTTATAAAATTGACTTTTCTAAAATGCTTTAAAACATTCCAACCAGTCTTTTCCTTGACAAGTGCCATATAAGCTATAAATTCATAGTAGCTGTGTTAGCAGTACATTCTAGGTGGTTTGAGCTTTCTTCATGAATTTAGGTCATCGACCTCAGAGGCAGGCAAGATAAGTTGCGAATGCCGATGGCTTCTGGAGAGAGGGAGTTGTGGGGTAGAGGGACAGAAAAAAAAAGGCGGGGGAGGGAAACAAGTGAGTTGTAATTGCTAATTAGTACAGGTGATGTAAGTTTGTTCAGCTTATAAAGAGGTGGTTTTGCAGTCTGAGTGCCAATTTACCGCTCCTTCTAATGCCACATTGTCTTCTCCCTCAATACTTACATCCTTAAGTGTTCCAGTGTGTGTTACTGCAAGTAAATTGCTGACTATGATGGAACAATAAAATGTTGAAACTTTCTTTGAAGGCATAGGTCCAGGTCGAGATCCCGTGAACGTCGGTCTAGATCCAGAGATCGTGGTCGTGGAGGTGGTGGTGGAGGAGGAGGAGGACGTGAACGTGACAGGAGGCGGTCAAGAGATCGTGAAAGATCTGGTCGATTCTGAGCCATGCCATTTTTACTGTATGTCTGCTAGAAAGTGTTGTAGTTTGACCAAACAAGTTCATAACGAGATTTTTTTTAAAGATGGGCTTCTGAATAAAAAATTTGTAGTGATACAGTATTCTTTGTGTAACTTGTTTCTTGTGGGGGGAGTCTTTTTAACTGTCATTCCTCTATCTTGACAAATACCTGGATTAACTATGCCTGAGGGAAAGGTGGTAAATGTATTGGAGGAGCGCCAGTTTTGGGTTTGTTTTGGTTATTTTTTTTCATTTGGGTATAATTTGAACTGTTGATGAAAATGTGTGTGTATATAATATAAAATATTATATACATAGTAAAAATAATATACTGCTTAAGAAACAGTTACTCACATAAGTTTCCCTTTTCTGCTATGCTGTCTGCTTATTTAGGTTAGTTTAGGCACATTTAAAAGGAAGGCTGTGCGAAATGCATTTATTTACCAAGTAGAAACGCTTAGTTACAAAAATGTATGTTTGTTTGTTACCAGAAGTCTGTGCTCTGTCTATCAATGTGACTGTGGCATTTACAATAAATCCAATTTCTTGGTGTAAAATCTAAAGCCTATTTTCTAAGCACACTGGAGTAGTTGAGTTGCTACTCCTGGCTGTGCCAGAGTTCATAGTTCAATTTTTTAATGATTCTTGACTAAATTCCTTGTCTTTGGTTGGAAAAAAAGTTACCTAGTACAGAGTGGAAAAAAAAAAAAGTAATTTTTATTGCAGTGATTCATAGTAGGCAGATGAGGATTTTAAAAAAAGCTCATGCTCTGTTCTGCATGATGGATAGGATCTATTGAAGGAAATCCATGGTTCTAAATACAAAGACCAAATTTCTTAACAGACTGATTTTATTTTTGTCTCTTATGTCCTCTTAGCTCTCATTTAATGAAAAGCATTTCATTAGCTTTCAATGTCATAGTAAGCTAATTGGATACTAATAGAAAATGGTTTTTTTTCCACCGTTACTCACTTTCTGATAGTCTGATGGGTGATAAAAGCTAATGGATAGAGGGCAGTTTGTTCACAAATGAGACATCTTTTTCTGAGTTTTAATTGAGTTGCACAATAGCTGTGTATTGTAGCTTGTGTGTTTCTGAAGGAGTTACAGCTCTAACTGAAATGTTGTTGGAACATCTTGAGTGTACCATGGCTGACTTGCAATAAAAGCAGACATAAAATAGAACTGCAAGTGTAACATAGGTAAGAAATTTTGGTCAGGGGTCACATTTCTGCAAGATACAACTTTATGAAGCTACATAATACAATATAGCTTTCCAGTGAGGGAGAGAATTTACTAGTGCTTTTGTAGTTCTGAGTCAGATAACTTGCTAAATGATAAATATGCTCCTTGATTATTATTTTTAAAAAGAGGGAAGACTTAGAAAGGATAGGGAATCATTACATAGCCAGATTAACAAACCATCTTCTCTCTGCCTCCAAAATAAGTATAAAACCATTTTGCTCGCTGGAACTTGGAGGCAGCTGACAAAATCATACTGAAAAATTAGCTTTTTCTGAATGAATCAGCTTTACCCAATACAACTAAAATCTTGCACCAATTCAGTTTGAATTATCTTTGTTCACACTGAATGATTTGGACAACCAGACTGGAATTTATTTTGCCAGTAACCTTTTTAAAGATGCATCTCTATGGGAGGATGGCTTCACTACTTATGTTTTGTTGCAGGTATATATGTCAAATTATGCTTTATTTTCATTGGAAGAAACTGAGCAGTGCCTGGCAATAAATGGTTGAACTGAAACCTGTGGTATTTCTGCTAGGCATTAGGAATTTAACACTGATAATTGTTGCTGTTTACGGGATATTAATCAAATTCCATTTCCTCTTCAGTGAGATTTCAGATTATTGGTGAGCTAATTCAAATCTCAACCTTGAAAAGGTGAGGATGGCCTTTCGGGGTTTTTTTTAAACAGTATCTAGTATGTTGTGGATACTATTTAAAAAGGTTTAAGATCTTTTATACACAGATTTGATAACACAAGCTGGTTTGCTCCATAAACAATTTAAACTAGTAAAATATGTTCCTACCTAACAGCCTTCATCTGCTTATTTAAACCTTGCTGAACTGCAGGTATATTTTTGCGTGAACAGGTAGCAGAAAGCTGATTTCTCCTTATCCCCCAATACAATTTTTCTCAAGAAAGCACTCTGTAATTCCACCATGTGCATAATTTTCTGGTCTGATGGTACAGCTGCCCCAAAATTAACCATGTAACTGGAACATGCCATAACGGACACTGAAAGCAATTGAGTTAACTGGATACTCGAAGGCAACAACTGATTACCTGGCTGTGTAACGATTACCTAGGACAGCACTCAGCATATAACTTAAGCTCATGACATATCTTCAAGTTAGGTTTAAGACTAAAATACCGATAAAGCTCATCCAACTTAGCATTTGTACTGCACAAATTTGGTTAAACACACAACAGTAGTCCAAATGGCATTGGTTTACCAATACAAACCAAGTGGAAATCCTACCTCCCCCTTCTATTGTTCACAATGTCTAAATGATTTTTTTTTTTTCCCTCCCTGAAGGTACCTACTTCTCATAAATACTTCATTGTTGACTCTTCTGTTAAACAGTGGATCTTATTTTATGGGATTCCTTTACCTCAAATAAGTGACAGCATACAGTATTTTCTGAAGTCTAAGTCAATTAGGTTGAAACTGTTAATCCCAAGTGGCTTCCTCTTTGTATTTGGCTCTTATTCTGTGAAAATGCTGCTTGTCCATGAATATGATGTATGTTAAGACTGTAAAACCAAATGGAGAAAACTTGTTCAAAATAAAGCCTTTTTTTTTATAAGAATCTGACAAAAATAATCCCTTTCCTTTAGATGGGATGCTGCTCTGTAAATGACCAATGAGGACACAGACTACAAGTTTCAAATTATTAGGTCTTGACTTTAGTTACTTTTTGAGTGATTCTTTGACTTCTGGTTTTTAGAGCTGGTGGAATGTCTTCAACTCAAAAAATACCCAGTCAAAAAAACCCCAACAAAACCTCTATATATTTACTTGATGTGGTATCAAAAGAGTGCAACTTGCAGTTGGGAGTTGGGGGTTTTGTTTCAATTGGTAAGGGTTCTGCTTGAGAGATTCAGCAAGTTCCTGTTGCAGTGGTCTGTGGAGAGCAAGGTGAGCTCATTTAGCCAGAAGGAGCATGCTTGATTGGAGAAAAGAGTAACTGAGAGGATTGTGGCTTTTAAAAGATTACTCTTCCTGGTGTTGCATCACTCCAGCTGTGAAACTGGGTGGTAACATCTGCGTGTCCATTGTCACTGTTTTACGAAGGCACTTTAAACTGAATATACTGTCCTTAATATCTTAGAAATGAAACTGCTTTTGAGGGGGGAATGTTAACCAAACAAGCACTCTCCAAACGTTTTTAACTGCTGGTGCTGCTGGACTGATGACTGTTCCAAATCAGACCTGTTTAGAAAAAGAGCTAAAAAATGGAACTGACTTGGTGTGCACTCAAATCAGCTCATAAGGGAGTAATGCCTAATAGGGAAGGTTGTCAAAGAAGGAACATTTGTAGCTGTATTTGCCATTTATTGCAAGGATGAAGCTGAGCTATATTACTGTAGGGCACAATGGGAGCACATGAATTTCAGTTTTGAAGTAATCAGAATTACAACAAAATGTCTAGAATAAATCAAGATATCTTAATGTTGATTTGTTACATGGTGCATTCTAAAACTATGCACAAGTATTTCTGAATTAATCTGATTAACCTATGTTATGTTTTTAAAATATATGTCCAAATTATTTTTCTTTTTGCAATGTTCATTTTGTTAAATCCACACGTGGAAAATGGGAGCATGTCTGCTGAATTATGTGGACAATCCTTCCTTGTCAGCAAAGTGCTTGTCAGCCATAAACATCTAATATTCCTGTTAATGCACATCTTGTTTTATTTCTTATAAAATTGTAAGCTCCAGCAAGAATTACTAGCAAAAGAGCATTGCTGTTCTATGGTGCAGTCCCCTAGTATTTCTGCAGCCCTGGCCTAACCACTTTAGAAGGTCCCCATTTTCCTGCTGGAGGCTACTGTTAATTCAATAGATCTAAATTTTCAACTGTAAATTGGGTCTGTGCTAATCGGATTGAATGGTCACAACTAACCCCATCTGCTGCCAACAGACTGGCTCTGGTTGCCAGTGGCTTCATTTCAACATATGTAAAGCAGGAGGGGGAAAGGTGAGCTTATCTCTAACTGATAAAACACAAATGTGTACTTCTTAGCAGTGCTCCGATAATCTCAGGTTTGGTGCTTTTTCATAGCTTCACTTTTGGTGTGTGCTTTCTAACTGGATTGCTTTGACGGGACCAAAGGCAAGTTAGATGCACCAGCACATCAGCAGAGCAGAAAGGTGCCAACTTCTGATGAAGTGGTAGGATGCGAGCAGAGCTGGGGGAGCAACAACTTCTTGGGTGAGCTGGAGCCCTGCAGCAGCTTGTGTGAGTATGCTTGCCCCTTTAATCCAAGTACCTTAAAAATACTCGAAGTCCTGCAAGCTGTTCCCACTAGGGAGAGAAAAGTACTATGATTCAGTTATTCCTTTGGGACAAACCCATGCATTTTTGACAAAAGTAAGAGAGTTCCAAAACTGCGTGTTTGGCTTGATCTGGAGGAAAAAAAAAAAGTTTCTGCTCTGGTTTCACTGATTCGCAGGACGAAGGGGGGGAGAATGGCAGCAGACAGCATTCAAGCTGGTTCCCCCCGCCTCTTTGTTTTTCACGGAAGAGCCTTTAGTCTACCAGGCTTAGCCCTCCTGTGCTTCTGCCAGCACCTGGCTTGATTTCAAGTCCTGCTACCGATGCGGCTGAATATTGGACAAGTTTCAGATCGTTCTCACTTTCTTCCAGGAGCCGTCTGGGATTCCGGCCAGGCGGAGGGAGGAAGGCAGCTCCTCGCACTGCAGCACCAGTCTGCCTCCTGGGAAGAGAGCTGCAGGAAGAACCTGGGGGAGCGACTGCAGCTCCTTTTTCTACCCAGCCCTTTCCCTTGAGAGCTCCTACTGCTCGTGCCTGAGTGAAAGGTGAGAGCGAGCTTCGTGGGTCAAAACAGTCCTGCGTCTGCCATCATCTCCTCTTCCTTCCTCTCTAATGAACACAGAGGATGCTTCCTCTTCTGCTTCCGTTTGTGATGGTGGAGGAGAAAGTCCTGGAGCTGCAGGAGTGAGAGACACGATAAAGGGACTGAAGAGCTGGTTTCTGGACGATGCACTAGTGGGAAGTGAGCAGGCAGCCTTGCTGACTTGGTGATTTACAGGCAACGCTAATTGTTGCATCGCTGGGCTGGTCAAAGGAAATTCCAAAATCTAAGGCCAAAATCTGACCAAGTAATAGTCTCATTCATGTCTAGGCCAGTCTTTTCATTCTGGAGGCATTTGACTCACAATTTTTGGTCCTTTCACATGACTGTGTTAGCCGCAGCAAGAGACATTTTGTTGCTCTTCTTGCTCAGCCTCCAAGAAGGCAAGATTTTGGTCTTTTGGACAAGTCAGTGATGCCCAGGAACACATGGTG